CCTTTTCCCCATGCTTCTGCCTCCCTCATTCTCTCTTCCATATGCAATCCTCACTGTATATTTGTCTCTCCACCAATACTGCCTTTACACTTACCTGTTATCCTTCCCATTCTTGCCCTAGCTTTCTCCTCTAATGCTTTTCTGGCAGGTATTTGAAATCTAAGATATGCATTATCCTCTTATTTCAGGGAAATGTGGCATGGTGTAATACCCCAACACCCAGGATTCAAGACAACAAGGAAAAATACAGGGAAATAACATATAACTGTGCCTTAGGATGGCCTGACTTAATGTTAGACAAGAAAAAGTGTAGTCAGTAATGAGCTGAGGTCAGGGTAACAGAGGGACAGTGAAAACGAAAACTAGCTGCGGTCAGGTACACAGTAATCAGTCAGACAGGCAAACAACACAAGAAGGGTTGAAGAAAAACTCAGACTCAGAAACAAAGCCAAAGTCAATACCAGAATACGATACAAAAGCTCAAGAAATGCAATAAGGGTACTGGGGCAGAAACCACAATAGGGCACAGAGTACAGGACTAGGCAGATATAAATACCTTAACAGTAACTTGTGATTGGTCCACATCATGCCTGGGCCCCCAAAACATTTGTGCATGGGGCTCCAGAATGATGCGGACCAATGGGAGCCAGAAACTACTTTGGGCTCCCATTTCCCCTTTAGGAGCAGGCTTGAGCCGCGAGCAGTGCTCTTAATTGCACACAGTGGCTCAGAATGCACAGTGATTGAGCATTGCGTAGTTTGTGTGCATGCAGGAGTGCTCAAGCCATGTGCGACTTGAGCAGAGGACCCCTCGCTGCTCACAGCACAGCTATGCACCACTACAGAAACTTATCTGTAAATTACACCATTGTATAAAACATCAAAAATCACCTATAACCTTTTTTTTCACATGAAGCTCCATTTTCAAACTCCATTTTCTTTTAAATGTATATTTAAGATTTAGCAACTGATATTGCAATCCAGTTCAGTCCTGGCATAGCATGGGCACATAATTCATTGTACATTGTGATGAGGAAACAGTGTTTTGATATCTTCCATTCTGGTATAACCTGTGTATAGCATCATCTTTGCATCATTAGTCTGGATCGCACTGTCCTTTGTTTGCTTCTTATTTTGAGAGAAGTCTGCACGTCATTGATCTTGCGAGGTTGCCGGATCAACATGACAACCTCACACCACCTACAGGAGTCCTTAAAGGTTTATTTATTGGTTCAGGGTGATGATGTCCAATAGCATTTTGGCTGTACCTAAACATACTTCCATTCTTCTTAGAATCATTGCCCTGTCATGGTTTATTATTGACCGAGAATGCATTCCACAAGGTGTTTCCTTCAACTTGGATTTTTACACTGTTTCAGAATTTTCGCCTGTCTAGGGCACACTGTAAGCCCGGCCACTCTAAGGTCCAGTATACATATCTCTCTCTTTCTATCTCCTTCATTCTAGTTACTGTTTCCCTATCCTCCTGACACTAAGTATCTGACCTCTAGTTCATGACACCTCCTGTTAGCACATAGGTTGCATTATATAATTATTACTTAGATTTTCACATTTTAAAGTTTCCCTTGTAGTACAGGAGTTATTTGTTCTCTAAAAATAATGTTTGATTTTTCTAGAAAACAAATCTCTCTTCAAGTATTCTGCTTTCTCTTGATTAATTTAAACATAGCCTTGTTCTCCTATAGTTTTCACCAGCTTGATCTTGTTCTTATTTGTTGTATTTAATTCCTTGTTTTTAAAGTGATTGGGATATTGCCTCTGCAGTGTGTCAACAAGATATCAACTTAACGATAAGGAAATCTGCAGCCATTCATCTTATTTTCCTTTCTTTTGCCTTACTGTGTAAGGAGAAAATTTTCTGATTGTTGATTAACATGATAAAGCTTTGATTTCAGCAATGACTGGAATCACAGCATGAAATTAGCTCTAAGATATGTTGCAATTCCTTCAAAAGTTACCTTACTAGTTTTTCTCTTGTTCATTAACCTATTTGTTATGTCCTCTTTCATCCAAGCTGACAAGACTTCCCCTTTATGAAAGGAAAAATCTGTGGGATTAAGATATGGAATGGCATGCAAAATGTTAGGTAAACCAGTCTGTTAGGTAAACCAGTCATTTGTCTAATACAATCGTAATTTTAATAAATCCTCTAAACCTCCATGACCTACCTCACCACTGGGTGAGCAATAGTTAGCGGTCTAGTGGCAGGAGGAAGAAATCTGTGCCTTCACAGTGCAGATAATTCTTTTCTACTCTTTATTTATGCTATCCATTCAATTATAGACAGCAAGCACATTGCTGTGATTAGTAATTAGGAGTGAAATTGTCCTTGATTTGATTTTTGCCAATCACCAGAAACAAAACTACAATATTGGTACTTTGTAGATACAGGGTCTGTGTTACTCAGTGCTCATCATAACTGCACTGTAATTAGCTGCACTTTATGACAGGGCGGAGACAATTGGTTAATGGGAGGAGATTATCAGTTCGCTAATTAACACATTAACAATCCAAGGAAAACATTCCAAAAAGGGAACAATCACTATATGAACCATTGTATTGTCCCTGCTGATTTCGCCACTTTTAGAACATTGCTCCAGAACTACTCTTTAGAAAACAAGTATACAAGTGCCTCATCTTAATATCTGACCGATGCTCTCATGTAACTCAAAGATCTATGAAGGGGTCTGTAATTTTTATACTCTGATAGATGTGAACACTTAAGGCTTTAATGGCAATGCCATTAAAAATGTATTTATTCGAAAACTATTACGTGATATCATTAATATTATATATTTTCTCTTGCTAAACTGTGAAACTGGGATTGCAATAAAATTTTAAAATTTAGGTCAAAATAACAATTGGAAATATATTCATAATTTACTGGTTTTCCAATGTGTCCATTTTTCCCCCTTAAAATTGACTGTTAATAGATCATTCACAATTTAATACATAAACCTATAGGGTTGATACATTGCTTTTATAACTGATTATTTTCAACTCTTACATCTAACAAATACTTTTTTTGAAATTATACAATAAAGTAACTGGAATAACATCATCGTGGCTAATAAACCCCATTTATTTGGAATGCTAACATTCAGGGCAATCTAAGCTCCCATTTCAGAATGATTTGGAAATGGTTGTCGTTTGTTGTCAATCATACATGAGGTTAATTAGCTCCATTTACATGTAATTGGTTTCTTTCGCTTCATCCTCAATATTTTTAATTGCTCACAGTGATGAATATAATCAGGTGAGGCTCATCGATCGGCTCGGACCTGATCAATCATTGGATTAGCTAATGGGAGCTGCTGTGCTTGTTGTATGATCAAGCAAAGGGCAGGCTATGTTTCTACATTTCCTCCCCAGGGCAAGAATAAATGAATGACTGCAGTTTACTTGTAAATACCATACACTTCAATTAATCTGTACTTTGTGCACAAATGTTCCTGCATCAAAAGCAATGACCACCTTGAATAATTAAATGTAGTAAAAAAATTCAACCATGCCCGATAACAAAATAAGAATTTAAATTGAATCTTGCGCATATGTATGTGTGTATATATATATATATATATATAAAACAAGGGGGGGTTGCTGGGGGCCAAATAATGTATATACTTACAATGATTGCTAGATTTTATGTGTGGTTAATTAAATGAGTATAAAAATTCCAGTATACAAAATGTTCTCTTTCTTTTTATTTTTAAAGGGAAATTCCAACCACCATATTCACTACAGTACAGTACACCGGTGATGGGGCCAGAAGAGCCCAGTAGTCGTTATCATACCCAGGAGTATTCTGGCCCTGTTTCCAATTAATAAGGTAAAGCATTTTGCATCAGTTTGCCCTCATAAACATGACTATATATCAGACATGAAGTATCTCATTTAGATTGGAAGAAAGGAGATTTAATCTAATGCAAAGGAAAAAGTTGTTTACAGAAAAAACAATAAGGGGATATGGAATCCTCTGCCTGGTAGGTGGTTTTATCAGACATCTGTTTAAACAGCAAACAGAGGAGGGATCTGCACGCTCATTTCCTGTAGACCTGGGTGCACTGTACCTAGGGCTGGCAAACCTCAAATCCATATAGTGAAATCAAAGTAGTCCAGGTACTCAAGGTCTTCATAAAACAGCAGATTTGTTGGTAAAACATGACGAACAAAGGTATGTGAGCACTCCAAATAAAATATGACCACTAGAAAAATTACACTCCAAAGCAGCAGCTGTAGAATAAAATAAAAATGTACATATACACAAAATATTTATTCATATATAAACAATAAAATTAATAAGGGGATATGGAATCCTCTGCCTGGTAGGTGGTTTTATCAGACATCTGTTTAAACAGCAAACAGAGGAGGGATCTGCACGCTCATTTCCTGTAGACCTGGGTGCACTGTACCTAGGGCTGGCAAACCTCAAATCCATATAGTGAAATCAAAGTATCTTTTCCCAAGTTGTATTTCAAAAATGTTGTATACAGCAAACACAGATTCAGATTAACTAGGCCCATACTGGCCATCGAGCATACCGGGCAAATGTCTAGTGGGCTGAGATGGCTGTGGGCGGAGACCGGCAGGGGAAAGGCTAAACAGGATCTCCCCTGTCGGCCAATGCAGAGCTGTGGGCCTTCGGGGAGATCAAAGATCTCCCTCACCGGACCAGAGGCACTGATATGCGGCTGGAGGGAGGCAGGAGAGGACCCGGGAGCTCCAGCCAGCAGCTCCGCCAGGTTCCTCTCGCGAGGTAATCTCTAGCCCTGCAGCACGGAACCCTCCTCCATTGCAATATGGCTCCCCCCCTCCCCCCAGGCTAAAGGTAAGAAGGGAGGGGATAAATAGACATTCACTCGCAGTACAGACACACAGCACCCTTAGGCACACAGACAGCACCCTCACACACACAGCACCCTCAGACACAGACACAGCACCCTCAGACACACACAGCACCCTCTGACATACACCAGCCTCACACAAGCACAGCACACTCTCACACATATACAGCACAAACACACACACACACACACATGTGCGTGTGTGTTTGTGCTGTATATGTGTGAGAGTGTGCTGTGTTTGTGTGAGGCTGGTGTATGTCAGAGGGTGCTGTGTCCACACATATATATATATATAGTATATATATATATATACTCACACACACACTATATAAATTAACCCTCAGTGAGTTAACAGACAAAGACAATTAGAAACATAGAATGTGACGGCAGATAAGAACACCCTTCACACACATGCTGCACCCTTCACACATACACCCAACAAGGTTATGGGAACTATGAGAACAATATGAAGAATAACCTATTAGACACACTGGAGAAAACATGGAGGCCCTCACACCAGTTGTGTATCCTGGTTTTGTGCTGCCCTAGGCAGGACAAAACTCAGACGCCCCCGCCCCCCGCGCGCCAGCCCCCCCAACCCTTCCCCCAGCCCCGCCTTCTAAATACACACACACACATTCAGACAGATACGCACACTCGCTAACAGAAACACACACTCACTAACAGACACACACTCACTGACACACACATTCACAGGCAAACACACTCACACTAACAGAGACACACACACTAACAGACACACACTCACAGGCAAACACACACTCACTAGCAGACACAAACACTCACTGACACACAGTCAGACACACACATACACTAACAGACACACACAGTCAGACACACACACTAACAGACACACACAGTCAGACACACACTCACACAGTCAGACACACTAACACACTAACAAACACACACACATTAACAGACACACTCACAGACATGTACACACACTCACATTAACACATTTTTTATTTTTTTTATTTAACCCCCCCCCCCCCAGCCTCCTTACCTTTGGGAATGCTGGGGGGGGTTCTCTATTTCCCTGGGGTTCCAGTGGCTGCTGGGCTGCCGGCGAGGGAGCACTTCCTCTGAGCGGTCCGCTCAGCTCCCTCGCGCGCCGCAGAGTGAGGCTGGGAGCCAGAATATGACCTCATATTCCGGCTCCCAGCCTTACTCTGTGGCGCGCGAGGGAGCTGAGCGGACCACTCAGAGGAAGAGCTCCCTCGCCAGCTGCCCAGCGCCCAGCATGTCAGTTAGCCATGAGGCTAACTAGGCATTTGCCCTGGGCATTTGGGGGCGGCTAAAACGCCCCTGCCTCACACTCCCACCCACCCCAATACCCGGTTTCTCCCAAATAAAGAGTGAAAACACAACCCCACCGGTATCGCAGATCCAGTTTTAAATTTTTGCTTTTCACGATTACTATTAAAATAAAAATTCTAACAGACTGTGAAGAAGCCAAGCATCATTATATGATGTACTGAATGTATTAAATACATATACTTTCCTTTCTGTAACATATTCACAATGCTGTATATACCAAGATAAGGCTTTTGCACAAGCCTTCACAGTTTATGTAAATGCAAAAATAAAGATAAAAAAAATATAAATATTTTTGTATTGAAATTTCATAATAAATTATATATGGACATTACAAAATAGCCATTAATAAAGACATTCACATTTCATAAATGATCATCGTACATAGTCTTAATGGTGACATACAGCACATCACAAGACAAAACTAGTTCAATAAACCACCAAGGGCAGCTGTACTCGGAGATAGCCTGCATAGATCCTAAATGCGTTATACATTCTATCAAGCATAGTTTCATATGAAATAACAGTGATGGAAAGAATCTTACATATCTCCTGTATCTCACCGAAAGGAAGAGAACAGAAAAAAATAGAGAAAAAAAAAAAAACCCTCATGGTGTTGCCTTCCAAAATCTCAATCCACTTGTCCCATATCTTGTATTTTTTAGAGTTGACACAAAACATGGAGACAATGTCTCGTTCCATTTTACACTAATGTTTAGTAACCTCTTTTATTGATTGCCAAGATTCTACCCATGTCGATTTCCAGTTTCTGGCTATAAGCATTTTTATGCTAGAAGTATATGAATAAGTATACATTTTTTGTTTAGAGGCAAAAATGGTAGATTAAAGGACCACTATAGTGCCAGTAAAACATACTCGTTTTCCTGGCACTATAGTGCCCTGAGGGTGCCCCGCCCGGCTCTGGAAAGGGGAAAAGGGGTAAAACTTACCTTTTTCCAGTGCTGGGCGGAGAGCTCCCCTCCTCCGATCCTCCTCCGTTCCTCCTCCTGGGCTGAATGCGCACGCGCGGCAAGAGCTGCGCGCACATTCAGCCGGTCACATAGGAAAGCATGCTTTCCTATGGACGCTTGCGTGCTCTCACTGTGAAAATCACAGTGAGAAGCACGCAAGCGCCTCTAGTGGCTGTCAATGAGACAGCCACTAGAGGCTTTGGGGGAAGGCTTAACCCATTCATAAACATAGCAGTTTCTCTGAAACTGCTATGTTTATGAAAAAATGAGTTAACCCTAGCTGGACCAGGCACCCAGACCACTTCATTAAGCTGAAGTGGTCTGGGTGCCTAGAGTGGTCCTTTAAGGTGTAGCAACACCATCTCAGGTGTCCATATTTGTCTAATTCCTAAAAGCCTATTAATATTTGAGAGGGTTAATCTCCAACGCATTTGTTTCAGGGGGCAATCCCACCAAATATGCATTTCATTTGCTTCTTATTGGCCACATCTCCAACAGAGAAAGATTTCTTTAGGAAACATTTTTGCCATTCATGCAGGTGTCAAAAACCATCTAGAGAAAAAAAATGTTTCATTTAGGTTTGAAGGTTATTTTTGCATGTTAAGTACATGCTATTTTTGTTTATTTCCTTGTGCATTACTGTAAACATGTGTGGATATTGCTTAATCCAAAAATGTGCACATCAGTGTCACACTGCCTATGATGGTATATGAATGGATTGGAAACCAAGCAGTTAAGAACAAGGTTTTATAGTGTAACATGGAATAGCAGTGAGAATGAGTATGTTTTGCTATAAAGTGTAAATCATGGCACTAAAGAGATGCTGGGTGTAATAGTAAGATATATAAAATTAACAATAAATTGGACTGTTACACTGCCTGCAATGGTATAGTTATCACAGTCCTTCAATTTTACAACAGCTCTGAGATTTAGGAGATTGCGTGCTGCATTTGCACTACTTTCACAAGGTTTTTTGTACTGTAAAGAAGTCTGTGGAAATAATCCTTGCTTTTTGGGGGAAATTGATGTCTTTGAGCAGGAGATACATGGTCACTCTACTCATGCATTATGTACTCCACATAAAAGTCAACTAAACCTAATTCAAATTTTTCATGAAAAAGGAAGTACTTAACTTTTATGCTATATCTGCCTTTTGTTATCTATTCTTCGGATTAAACATTAACTGTAAAGTGTCACTAAGAGTTATGCGGAGAAGCAGCATTGTGAATTGCATGTATTGTCTCATATTTTGGACACCTATTCCGACTATTAAAGGAACACTCTAAGCACTATAACCACTACACTGCATCATCATACTACTACAGAAATGCCCTGGCACTCAATATTGTAAGTAGCCAAACTGTTTTAGAATGGTTTGACTTATTACCAGGGATTTGCTGTGCACTACACCTACCAAGGTTTAAATGGTCTCTTCTTCACATCACTCCAGACCATCTGGTTAAGGTAACCCTGTTAATATTAAACCGTGAAGGCCTTGTTTCCATTTCAAACATATTTTCCTAACACTAAAGTGTCCCGCTGCCCCCATACCTCCCCCTAAACAACCTTCCTTCCATCCTCGAGAGTGTTACAAAACTCTTGCAGTCATGCGCATTACTCTTCCTTCTATGTCAGCGATGAGGAGCAAGCGCTGTGTACACATTAGGTCTTCTCCATAGGAAAGAATTAACTCATTGCTTTCCAATGGGGCTTTTCAATTGCTGGACATCGTCCTTCTACATCAGCGCTAAGGAGGAACCTAATGTGCATGCGCAGCGAGCGCTGTGCACACATTAGGCCTTCTCCATAAGAAAGCATTAACCTATTGTTTTTCCAATAGGGATTTTAAAGTTGCTGGACATCCTCATGCAATTGCTTCACAGAGTCAAACTCCCTGAAATGCTAGGAAGCACCTCTAATGGTTGTCTAGTAGTCTAGAGGTAGTCTAAAATGGCAATGATTTAAATTGCAGGGCAAAACGGGACAGGGTCACTGCACCCATGGCCTGTCCCCTCTACAGCTCCTGTCCCCTCTCAGCCGCTGTCCTCTCCTCTACAGCTACTGCCCCCCTCTCGGCCTCTGAATCCCCCTTTCTGCCCCTGCCCCACCTCAGCCCCTGCCCCCCTCTCAGCCCCCATGCCCCTCACCACAGCCCTTTCTCAGTTGCTGCCCCTCTCTTAGCCTCTGTGCCCCTTTTATAGCTCTACAGCTCCTGGCCCCCTCCACCACAGCCTCTACCTCCCCTATGACACATTCCTCCAACGACAGTCGCTATCTCCCCACATGCAGACCTAACCCCACTTTTACACACCATACACCTACTACAGCCCCTCTCCCCCAATTGCAGCCCATATTACGTACACCACAGGCCCTTTCCCAAATTGTAGCCATAAATCTACATCAGTCCCTATCACCCACTACATTTCCTAGCCCCACAATTCCAGCCCATAACCTTCACTACAGCCTTTGTCCCCCCAGCTACAACCCCTAACTTTTCAATTACAGCTGCTACAAAACACTACCACTGCCCTTCCCGAGATTCTGAATCTGCCTCTGCTCTGTATGTCTGTATCTGTATGACTATACAACTGTGTATCTATATCTTTGTATTCCTGTGTCTGTATGCCTCTATATGACAGTGTCTGAATGTCTCTGTGCATGTCTGTATTTTTATGACATTGTATCTGTATGTGTAGATTGTATGACTGTGTTTGTTTGATTGTGTTCCTGCATATCTCTGTGACTGTGTGCCTGAATTATTCTGTGTGCCTGTATGGTTATGTGTTGCTATATATCTATCTCTAAATGGCATAGGAGGAAAAGGGATACACAAAATGGGCTCGGGGAGAGAGCTTCAGAAAGGAGCTAGGAGAAAGAAAGAGCCACACAAAGGGGCTTAGGGTAAGAAAGAGACACATAAAGGGCCTTTTTACAA